AACACCGCGACAGTGACATGGCGTGATTTGCGATATATCGATTGATCTGCCATTTAGTCATACAAAAAAGGATCTATGAACAGGGTGTTCGCAACGAGCACCTTAATAATCGATTCTCTACCATGGCTTCAAATAGGTAAATATCGATAATCGACCATTCACGCCTCGCCACCGCACAATGATGGTTGCCCGTGATGAAACTTCTTGTTAGCCTCGATCAAGGTCGATGATTTGCTCCGTCAAAGAGGCAAAAAACTTTCCATTTTAGGTTAGTTCGACAGCTGCGGCTCTGTCTTGAACATCGGCGCGGCGTGATGACTTCTAAGAAAGTTGCGCACCGGCACCGGCTGTCGTCACCAGCTCACTACCCTCTTCATTTTAATTTGCCCCTTCGCTCAGCTCGATGCAACCCAATATACGCCCCGACGGCGGGGCTCCGTCAAGTGTCACGGCCCGGAAAAGTGGGCCAGGAGACGCGGCGCACAGTCGACCGAGTCGATAGGAGAGGTTGGACAAAATTTGGAAACTTTAAGAGCTTATAACTCCGTTTCTACGAAATTTTGAAGTTCTGAAAGTGGTTCCATCGATTTTCTCGTGAAATTTTCTTGTAGAGGCTTCCCTTAAAATTTAAAATGTGACGAAATAAACATCAAAATTTACAGTTCTAGTCAAAAATGTCATGTCTGTCCTCTCTAATTGACTCGATCCACTGTGCGGCGATGGGATCCCTTCGGCGAGGAATGAGGTGCGACCCGGGGCCGGGGGTGACTCGATAGCGAAACGAACGAGTTCGGTTAATTATCGCAGCCGTTCGTGTTGAAATTCTCGGCTCGATCCCCCACACAGTTGCCAGATTGCTCTGAAAAATCAGCGCTTTTCTCCATTTAACCCGTGTAGACTATACGTATTTTATCGCACAACCTGGCAACCCTGATCCCGCGGCCGCCCTCGAACTTTCCTTCCTCCTATTGTGGTTGGATCTTACTTGCGTCAAGTTTCATTGTATTTCAATGAGGATCCGTATAGCGATGTCACTTCAGTTGAAGTATATCGTTTTGTCACCTTTGGAGGCGACAAAACGCTCCATTGGGGGAAAAGGGTCAACTAGAAAGACCAGAAATGGAGAATTTGCATGCTAATATTTTATTGCTTCATCTGAAAGTACTTAAAGAACTGATTTCACAATATTTTTTATAATTTTTTCTAATATTGGAAATAGTATAAAAATAGATTTGAAAGTGAGAAGATGCACCGCCTAGTGACGTCATCTGGCGGCATTTCCCATTTAAACACACATATTTTAGCAGATTAGATAATTTTGTCATGTCTTCTCCAATAATTGCTCAATTCATGAACCAAGGGTATGCTCGTGTTCAGTTCACTCAGTAGTTTCCACTTAAATACGAAATTCATCAAATTTCAGACACCTGCAAATTCTCTATTCTAGTTTACAAGTGAATCAAATTTCAAGTTACAGATTAAGTAAACGCGTTGAATTTCCAAAAAGTTTTTTTTTTTTTTCACTTCAAATATCCCGGAGGGAGGGGGAATAATCTCACGCTTGTCGGCCCTGAAGTCCCATCCCCCTCAAACCCTAAATCAAGCAAGTCCCAGCCAACCGTTGTCTGAGAACAATAAATTCGAGTCATTTCGCTGGGAATCAAACCAGGGACCTCCCGATCATAAATGAATCAATTAATCTAAATAAGTTTGTATTTTGAATTTTTTCGAGAAAAGGGTCGTTCCACATACTTCCACCGCTGGAGAAGAGAAGCCTAGAATAGCTTTATCCAAAGTTTCTCTCTAATTCTGTTGCGGCCTGATGCTTGCTTTTAGAAAAATTCATTTTAAACGCTTATAAAAGCATTATTGATGCGAGTTGGACAGTGGTTTTTTTTGGGAGGGGGGGGGTGTTGGAAAATGGATGCATCGAAAATTGAAAATCGATTTTGTATTTTCCGAACCGGTTTTTCTCGATGAACAAAGAAATACCAGTTTCCATTTTTAGCACATTTTCTCTGGCTTTGTCACAAATATTGTGATACAGAAGCCAATACTGCCATGCAGGGAGACACGCCGTATGAGCATTCAGGAGTTTCCAAATTTCCTTCGAGAAAATTTTTATTTTTAAGGAAAGTTATGAATATTTTCCCTTGGAATTTGCAAGAAACTCAGGTGAAATTGCGAGCAAAATTATCTGAAAAATTAGAAGAAAAATATTTTTTAATTCACCCGGAACTTTGTGTTTTATCGAAGGAAATTCGGCAACGCCTGAAGGTTTATACGGCGTTCTTCTTCAGCACGGCAGAATAGGGAATAGCGTATAAGGTGACGGATGCATGGTGCCAAATGCAGCTAGAATATAGCATAGTATTTGAGTAGGAGTAAAGAAGTAGCAGGAGAAAGGTATTGAAACGACAATTGGACGTATTTCTGCCGAACGGAACTACGCGCATCAAGACATGAGCTCTGAGACCCATAAGGATATATGCATAACAGGGCTCACATCATAATGCACATAGTTTCGTTTGGCATAAATACGTCAATTGGAGCATATGACGAGAATGTCTTCCGCAAGCAAGACAGTGTGGCATTCAGTCAATATCATAGTATAGAGATTCAGCGACGCGGCGCGGTGTCGGTCTAGATGAAAAACGGCGCACGTCAAATCAAATTCCCATCGAACCGTGCTTAGGTTTCTCTTTAGCTCTCCTCCTTTACTTCACCCCTACGTTGAGGACGCTTTTACGTTCGAAAAATTTATTCTATCCCTCCCTAGCTGTCTGAAATAGCGTGAAGTCATATTTTTTCGAATCATTCATGCGTCATATCCCAGTGTGAGGTTTCATTGCGTTACGAGCGTGGCGCGTTTAGCCCGGGAAACAGCATACGAGCTTTTCTAGTTGCGATTTTTTTAAATCGACAATACTTAGTTTTGCCCATTTAATCCTAATCCATGTAACAGTCGATATGTTTCGAAGTAAGCTACCCGCTACACAGAAAAAAAATAGATGGTGCTGACGACAAAACCTTCTGCTCACAGGGCTCCTGCAGTTTCTTTGTTACAGTCACTGAAGCTTCCGTTATGAGGACAGAGTACTCTGTTCCCACGACCGAATTTCTGTCCTCACAACAGAAAAATTCTGTAAGTGTAACAAAGAAACTACAGGAGCCCTGTGAACAGAAGGTTTTGTCGTCAGCGCCATCTATTTTTTTCTGTGTACTACATCTGGAATCTTTTTGTTCTTTTTTTGTAATCAAATTGAAATGGAGGGAAATTACTGTACATAATAACATCTCTGTCATCATGAAACTCAAAACGCACTTTTTATGGCCATGAAATGCGGAATCTCGGTAGATTTGAAGAGCAACGCGGTACAAACATGTCCGTACGCCAGATTATCTTCTGTCTGCAGTTGTGATATGGCAGACTCGTAGGCAACCTAGTGTCTTGAAATTTTAATCCCCTCCCTCTTGTCTCCCAAAAATTTACACACAAAAAAGAAACATTCTTTACGATCTGATGGAATTTTTCAACCAGTTGAGTCTAGTAGGAAAAAGATCAGACCGCACGAACAATCAGTCGAAAGAATGCTAGCAGCTGCTACTGCCGACCTAAGTAAGAACGCCGTATGAGTCATCAAGCGTTCCCAAATTACCGTCGACAAATCACGACTTTTCAGGAACATCTGGGAACATTTTTTCCTCATTTATCCAGGGGATTTTCCTCGTAATTTGATCTAAAAGGTCTGGATATTTCAAGAAAAAATACTCATAACTTTCTTCAAAAATACAGAATTCTAAAGAAGAAATTTGGCAATGTACGGTGGTTTCACATATTTGAGTTCGTTTACGGCAGGCGTAACATGCAACTATTTGACCACGGGTGTACGCATGTTGCAGCTCCGCTGGATTGAAGGCGCGTCAAACTGCGAAGATGTCTTGACAGCCTGCCTAACCCTTCCGGCCAGAACGAATGCTAAAATCGCTGCAACACTGGGACGACGCGTCATTATTTATGACTCCCTTTTAATTTTCACCATAAAAAACAAAAATAACATTCCTAATAGCTACGACTTGGAATCAGGGACCGTGGTTTTTTTTCGATAAAGATAAAAAAGGATAATACGACTAAATATACTTAATATCGCGACGATATTCCCTGTGATTTCAATTAAAAGCGTGAATGAGAGACGGCTTTTGCTTCTTTCAACGTAAGGACGCATCAATTTCCCATTAAGAGGGTTAATTATTGGCAAAGTTCCAAAATTCCCAAGATAATCTAACTCCTCACAAATGTACACAGAGGATGTACCCAGCTCAGATTCAGGGCTGAAATATTTTCCGATGAGGAGCCAATGAAAGATGACAAATATTTTCTTAGCAGTGTAAGACGCAGAATAGGAAAAGGTCCGCGAAGGAATCACAAGTAAATAACATTTCTGTCATCATGAAACTCAAAACGCACTTTTCATGGCCATGAAATGTGGAATCTCGGTAGATTTGAAGAGCAACGCGGTACAAACATGTCCGTACGCCAGATTATCTTCTGTCTGCAGTTGTGATATGGCAATATTCCTCGTAATTTGATTTAAAAGTTCTGAACATTTCAAGAAAAAATACTCATAACTTTCTTCAAAAATACATATTTCCAGAGAAGAAATTTGGCAATGTAAGACGGTTTTACTTAGCAAGGCAGGCAAGATAGTTGAATTAATCACCCTGACCAATGGCAAAGTCAGGTGAGTCCAAGGGGGTTAGCGAGGTCGTGGAAGGGGGGATGTCTCGACCTCCTGAACCCTCTCGATATGAAAATTTCATTTTACCTCCAGTTTGAGGTAATGTATCTATGAAAGGTGCGGTTTTTCACTACAAATGCACATTTACGCTCTTTGGTCCATCTGATATCAAACCAAATAGAATTTAATTGTGGACATGCATGCACATTTATGATTCAGATTTTCCAATATTCACACGATATTGCTTTGAATTCGTTTCAGTTGCTGGCAGATGCTGTGTTACTCATAAATGCAAACATTCTAGGAGCATTTTGCTACGGGATCTCGGATAAACAACAACGGACGGCATTCTTGGGGACTCGACAATGTTTGGAAATGAAACTAGTCATAGAGGAACAATCTGCAGAGCAGGTAAAATAGTTTGAAAAATCAATGCAACATTTTTCTCACAAAATGGCGATGAAGAGTTTGAAATACTTAGATCTATATTCGCCCTCGTACATTGGATAAAATCCGCACAAACTCTCCTGAGCACGACTGACGGAAGAAATAAGGGTGAAGAATGTTGCCACTTATCGATATCATCAGTTTTCGTTTTGTCAGCGTTTTCAAGGCATTCCCATGCTCATTATGAGGCTGTGGTATACGTGCAATAATGTTTACCTACTACTTCCTTGTTAACTTACTACTTCTTCCTCTTTCCTTAATTTTCTCTCTTCTTCTTTCCTCCTTCTTTTTATTTTCTTCATCTCCTCCCTCATTCTCTCTGTTCTCCCGCCTCTCCTCTTCTTTGCCCTTTTCTTTTCATCTTCTTCATATAGTATCGTGTCCACACCAAACCGTCAACAGAAACCGTCTGTCTATTGTGGGGGATGGCCAATATTCGACCACGTAGGAGCTCGTGTTGCCTACTCTAAAAATTGAAGGCAAACTGGCATGACATTAAAGAACCTCATCCTTCCTTTTCCAAAAGCGGGTGGTTAGAGGATGAGTGAAAGACTAACTAACGACAGCTCACGATGGACTCGATAGTTAGTCCATCATTTCCTTTTTAAGTCTATAACAATTAACCACCCGTTTCAACGGACAGAATCGCTTTATCAATCAATTTGAATAATCAGGACGGTGAAAGAAAGAAAACCCTAGACTGAAATCATAGCGAGTGAATGCAGAGCGTGGCAGCACTGAGCTCGAAGAACCGACCCACAGAAAGAAAGAAACCCGTGTTAAGCTCGGATTAAAATAAATAGTAAACGGATAAAACCGCGACATNGGATGAAGGTGCTGCGATGAGCCTGGGTTCTTGACTATGGCGAGTTCATTAATCTAAAAGGCGGAGCCTGGATCTTACCGCGAGGGAGATACACAGAGTGGCTACAATTACGCTCCTCTTAATTAAAGAGCGCTCGTTTCAAACTTCCCGTGCAATTCACCATTCAACGTCCGAGCGAAACGGAGACATGAATCCGGGTAAATATGGCAGCTTTGATTGAAAACCATTTTCATTTCTAAAATGCCCGGGAGCGGAGCAAAAAAATGCCAAGACCTCGCTTCATCCCTCGCCGTGCACCCTCTTACGCTACCGTGCTAAGGAAGAAGGCCATATGAGCCCTCAGGCGTTGCCAAATCTCCTTCGGGAAATCTCGGATTTTCGGGAATATTTGCAAACTTTTGTCCTCCAATTTTTTTACAGAATTTAGTCCGCGATTTGATCTAAAGCTTCTGAAAATTTCAGGGAAAAATATGCATAACTGTCGTTAGAGATTAAAAATTTCCGCGAGGCAATGTGGCACCATTCGGATGTTCGCACGCGTTTTTCCCTAGGACGGCAGTATGAACCGCAACCCTTGCGCACGAGAGCGTGAAATGTTGAGTTAACCGCGAGGTTCCGAACCCGCGAGGCTGGTCGTAAATCCTGCGTGGCGTTCGCGGACGTAAAATTAAGTAGCCCTTGGATCGTAGGTGCTCCCGCGCCGAGCAATTTTTACGGTTTCGTAGCTCCTTGGTCGCTTGATATTAAAAATGAGTTACTCGCATCGCTTGCCCCGGCACCCAGTCGTAACCCGCCGCCCGTTTACATTTCATGAGATTTCCGACTCATCAGTGTGACACTTTTATGATTCACGGTCTTCCAATTGAAACGCGCCGTCAAGTCGTTAAATTTTCACCGACTCAAATGACTGGGATGACCATATCGACGGTGAAACTACCAAACCACGTATCTCGGTTTGCAGACTTCCTGTCATACTTTATTTTTTAAATGAAAAACTACTTAACATCCAGTCTTGAAAATTTCTGTAATTTTTCCTCTTTGGGCGGGGAAAATTCCGTGAAAATTTCAAGGAATGATATTGATTTGGTCTACTTCAAAAAAATAAAATGTGAGCGTAGATTTTTAAACACCGCAAACGAGATACGTGGTTTGGTAGTTTCACCGTCGATATCGTATTTAATGAGAAGCGGAAATGGACAGAAGGCGCTTCCCCATTGGCGGATCCAAGGAATTGGCAGCATCGTCTTTTCTCCGTGTAAACCTATGGAAATGTATCGATTCGTCAGATACAGTGGATATCGCATATAACGACCTTGCAGGGACCGGCCTAATTTGGTCGTTATAGCCGATAGTCGTAATAACCGATAGTTGATTTTTCACGCACTCTCCTCAGTTTGAAGGCGGAGACTAAGGCTGCACTCACACTGGAAGTTGACGAGTTGGAGATGCGCCAAACAAGGCTCTTTAAATTTGCACTGCAGTAACTTTTTTTTTATCTACCTTGTGTTTTCTTTTAAATTTCAATATAAAATAATCGTGTAAATTTCACCCTCATTTTGCCGACGAAGAACTTCGAAAAAACTAAGATTCCATAGATTCACCAAATTGTAATTAATTAATTTATATATTTAAAAACTATTTTTGTGTCAATTTTGTTTCAGACCTTCTACATTTTTAATCGAAAAACCTCACACACTTTAAACTTGAAATTTTTTTTAAAAAAATCATCCAATGAATAGACAAAAAATTAGTTAATTTGAAAACTAGTCCGTAATGAACGTTCCTCTGTTTAACAACAGGATTTATGTACGGCATTTGCACCGATTTATGGACCAAATTTAATGAGTTTGCGAGTGCCGAGTCGTTCCATTCCGGACAGCAACACCAAATTGAAGCCGCTACGCGGCTTTCCGGTCGCTGTGACCGATAATACGGTCCGAAATTCCGCGGAAACCCCCCCCGTACTGACCGATATGTCGCTATAAGCGTCGTCGTTATATCCAATACCTAAATACATTGATCTAATGGAGTTTCGACCGGGACCAAAGAGATTGCTTCACTATGACCGATAGGTCGTTATAACCGATGTCGTTATACGCAATATCCACTGTATTTGTATGCAATATTTTGACCAAAAAGCATTATTACGTAGCTTTGAAGTGTGCTCCGAGGGAATATTGCAAATCCATCGGCGGATCCAACAAATTGGCAACATTGTCTTTTCTCCATTTAAACCTATGGAAATGTATCGGTTCCTTGGGGGGTAGGGTGCTCCGAAAATAATCGATTGTTTAGCACAGATGTAAATGGAGGAAATCAAGTGTCGCCAAATTGCTGGACCCGCCTTTGCGCTCCCCTTGCTGAAGGGACTTCAATAAAGAATTTGCAAGAGTCTAAAATTTGATGAATTTCGTGTCTATGTGAAAACCACTAGGCGAACTGAGCACGAGGATACCCTTGGTTTATAAATTGAACAATTATTGGAGGAGATATGACAAAATGATCTAATCTGCTAAAATACGTGTGTTTAAATGGGAATGTCGCCAGATAACGTCTCACTAGGCGGTGCAATTTCTTACTTTTAAATCTACATGTACAAATACCATGTCTTATAGCAGGAAAAAAATTATAAAAGTACTGCATAATCAGCTCTCTAGGCACTCTCAGATGAAGCGATAAAAATTTCCGTGCAAATTCTCTATTGGACCATATTTTCTGCCGATGAAAAACCATTTCTGGATCATTTAAGGAACGGAATAAGTGCCGTTAGTTTCCCCATGGAGATGTGTTATTTAATAGGACAGCTAATTTTCACATGAAGCGAGATGGTACAATTGAGTAATTCTTTTAAATAAGCACTTTTGGTCGTATCCATACGTGGTTCTTCTGGAGAACAGTTCATATTTTTTCTTTTAATTGAATAGATTTGTGCTAAATGAACATATCGACGGTGAAACTACCAAACCACGTATCTCGGTTTGCGGCGTCGCAAACTTCCTGTTATACTTTATTTTTTAAAGAGGAAACTTCTCAATGTTGATTCTTGAAAACTTCTGTAATTTTTCCACTCAGTGCGAAGAAAATTCTGTGAAAATTTCATGTAATAATATTGAATCGTTCTTCTTATAAAAATAAAATGAGAGTGAAGATTTTTAAACACCGCAAACGAGATACGTGGTCTGGTAGTTTCACCGTCGATATGCGTAGATGAATTAAATCCAGAAAGAACTAAGTGCATACAGAATGTGCGTGTTACACAATTCCTTTTGATGTTTTTCCGTTCAGCATAAATACGTCCAATTAACAATATTTATTGCCTCGTCATCAGCTAGAATAAGATCATTACTGATAAAGAATAAGTTTGTTGGCGGGTACATACGGGCAAAAATGTGGCTCAAAGACTAGCTCGCCCTACACTCTCATTTTTTAGCAGCATTTTAGCCCCGTGTTACCATTTTCACTTCACATCCTTTCACTCCAGATGTCTGTCAATTTAAGCATCTAAACGCCCTTTTCTTATCATTAAGGTATCATTTGGAACTGTAGCTTTCTTCAGATTTAGAGTATTAGATGTTACTTAAACTACTACTCCAAGTCAGAGACAAAACTTGCGGGTTCATCGATGCAAGGAGAACATTTTCAAGTGACCTGCAATTTGGCATACCTGCATCGCACATTAACTAATGCGATTTCCACGCAATTTCTCTAGCAGCCGAGCCGCGTAGCCTAGTAATAATTAAAATGAAAGCGACAAATCATCAATTTAAGTGTTCGCGGTTCCATTTCCGGTACATCGTCCAAATTTATGAGTGGAATGGGCCTGTTGCATGCAAGAGATACAGCCGTGCGAATAGACGTTTTAAAGGTTAAATGACACGAAAATTACGATGGTCACATTAAAAAAGTCTGAAATACACTCCGTACTGCGCAATTTGTGTTGTTAGGAACGCGCTTTTTCAAATTTCCCGCGTCTGGGGGCAGTTTTCTAACGGAAACAATTAACGGCAACTCGCGGCTATTTCCGGTCAACTAAAATTGACAACATAACCTAAAAATCGGAGCTCGTGAAATCGTGAAATGAAAAGTAGAAGGATTGCGTTGGATATTTAAAAGTTGATCGATTTGGTTACCGCATAAA